ACATTTCTTTAGCTACTTCATAAGTGGAGATGACTATAGTAGTAATAGTGCCTAATTTTAGGGTTAGAATAGGACCATATATTCTAGAAAGATTAGTAAATAATCGGTGGGGCTTCTACCCGGCGAGGGCTGGCTATTGGGCTGTGCAAACAGCCCAACAGCACAAGGCCTTATTTTATTTGGGGCATCAAAATCTGAAATTTCAGATAGTGTATATATATATTTCTTAAGGAGATTAAATTGTTGAACAACAAGTTGACTTAGTTGGTAGTGCATTTAATCCGTTGGATGTCTCCCTTCCACCAAGTTATGATTCGAATCCTTTCCCCTTCACTTTTTTTTCGTTATACCCTAATTTTCCGATTTTTATTTTTATTTTTTTTATTTGGTGTTTTCATAATGTTTTTATTTTGTTAATGCCCTTTGATAATTTTAATCTCCGACTTAGTTTTTTTTTCAATTTTTTTGTGCTGTTTATACCCTTCGATAATTTTCACCTATTTAGTTGTATTATTTTAAATTTTAGATGGATAAAAATGTAGCAATCAAAACTTCATATATTTTTTATAGCACAGTGCTCCCAAAAAGTTTAAGACGACCCTGTTTCTACCCGAGCTCGAAAATGTTGCCAATTATTGGCATTGGTTTAGGCCCGGGGGGAAGTTTGGCATTGGAATGGAAGAAGTTTTTTTTTCGCAAAAGTAAAAGTAAAAAAACAAAATAGTGAACATAATTGCTAGTGTGAACTTGTGATTCATGCTGAACGTAATTCTGACACGAGTATAATTTTTTTGGTAGAGGAGAATCTACACTCTAGAGATTTTAAAATAGTTTAGATATAAACAAAATAAATTTGAGTTGACGGATGTCACAATCAGCCAAATAAAGTAGGGAAATTCTCAACGGTGACCCCCAACTTTTGCTACGCGCCAATGGCGACCTCCCTTTTTTTTTATTATACAAAACGACCTTAGTTAAAAATTTCATCTCACTCATAACTTTATTTCATTAAATATTAACTATGGTGAGAATTATATTTAAAAAAAAATAATAATAACCCCAACCACCAAAAACCAGCCACCACCTGCCCAACCACCATCTCCCTTCCGGCGACACTACCCCAGGTTCCATCGATCGCCGGCAACGCTACCCAGACTCCCCCGAAAGCTGGTGACACTACGCCAACTCCACCTCGACCACCGCCAAGCCAAATTCCCAAATCCCCGCCTACAACCCTCCCTCCCTCTCGTCCTTTTCACCGTCACCACCACTGGGTTGCCGAACTTAGAACCCCGACCACCGAACCCAAACACGACCACCCCCACACCACCAAACCACCGATCTCTCTCTCTTTCCTCTCCGCCATCTCCTCCACCTTCTCTCTTTATCTTCCGCCATCTTCTGCCTAGAATCGAAACCTCAAACCTAAACTCACCATCCCTCCTCGACCAAAACCAACCCCACGGCGAAGCGGTGAGGATCGAAGGTCAGTGAAGGAATGGTCAGAGGAGAGAGATTTGTGAGGTTAGGGTTTAGGTCTAGGCGGTGGAAAGGGTAGAGGCGATGGTTCGGCAATTTAGGTGGGAGGTCGGCGTTTCAGATGATGGGGTTTGGTGGCTCCGGTGAGGGTGAAGGTGGTGCTGACTATATTTGGTGGGGATGAGGGTGAAGGTGGTGGTTGGGTTGGTGGTTTTTATTCTTAGGTATTTTTTTTTCAAAGCTAACCATAGTTAGTTTTTTTTTAAAAAAATCAATAACACTCATTAATGTCATATGTGAGATAAATTTCTTAATTAGGGTCATTTTATATAATAAATAAAAAGGGAGTTCACCATTGGTACGTAGCAGAAGTTAAGGGTCACCGTTGAGAATTTTCCAATAAAGTATATAAGGAAAGTGAAAGCAAAAGGAGGGGAAAAATTTAAAAGATAAACGAAGTGAGGAAATTAAAGATGTATGTAGCTAAACTTGCTTGCTCCATAACTCGTGCTTGTGTTGAATTTAGCACTAGTAGCAACGTGGAAATACTATGCTGAGACACATTATGCACAATACATTCAAGAATAAACAACTGTTGTTACACATGAAGTGCATTACATTTATGATTTTTATTTCCAATGATAATCTAGAATGTGTACCGGTAATCCGGTATATAAATAATCTAGAACATGTACCGGTATATAAATATTTATTATACCCAATTATCACGAATCAAATTTTGTTACTCGTCTATGAAAAATTAAAAGTCATGTTTTTGTGAAATAGAACAATGCTTTTGTTTAATAAACATATATTATATATATTGTCTTTAGGACTACATATAATTATTAAATTCATTGTTAAAACTCAAAAATTGTATAAATTTGAGAATATACGGAAAAATTACACGTTGATCAGTTTTATTAATAGTGCTTATTAATTTTGAATCTTTCTTTCTTTAGATTTCTTAAATGCAACCGTAAAGGATTCCATGTATATATCTTTTTCCGTTTTTTCATGGAACACCTTATATGACCATTTCGTACTGTCAATTTATAGCCAAAAGAAGTCATATTTCCAACCATTGACCACTTGCTTTAGTGTACGAGTACGGAGTACCTATCAAAATAAATAAGGTACATCGAAAAATTTATAACATAATGTCACATAATATGCAGTATCTACTCCACTTGGCTGGTTGTGCTCATTAAACATGCTTACATCAAAGGGAGGTTTACAGTTGGGATAAAGCCCAGATTAATTTTTCCTTATTATAGTTATTAGATAAGTTTGGATTTCATATTTTCCTTCTCTCCTTGTCAATTTACTCCGTATTACGGCATTTTGTTATGGCCGAATACGGACTATAACGGAGTACTTGTATATTTTAAGAAAATGTATATGAAGTATACAATTGTTATTAGTCTTTAGAAACATTGCATTGTGTCAATTCAGTGTTGATTTAGTGGTAAAGAAAAAATTTATAATTTTATTGATTTTGGGATCCCAATCTCTAAATACACTTTGAAGATGGAAATCCCTTTACTTTTCCTCCCATTTTTTTTTATACGGGAATCTGATAGGTGTTAAAAATTACGAGTCTTCAATTGTCTCATTGTCGAGCTCGTATGAAAAAAATGACCTAACAAATGGAATGGGAAATCTTTCTACTTCATTCCTAAGACTAGAATCGAGTATGCCACGCACGATTACTTTATCTTAATTAGTGATTTGATTTTGTTATGTCGGAATCTAGCTCCATCTTGCACAAAAGAAAAATAATAATTAGTTGAATAAACATCCAAATAAAGTAAAATATTTAATGTACTTGGCAAAATATTCTTGAAAAAAAAACTCAAATCAAACGTTGTATGGACATGCATGATACATGTAAACGTATTTTTCTTGGACGTGACCTATATGACTGCCCAACCACTCGATCGATGAAGACAACATCTGATATTAATATGGTTTGGTTGATGGTTAGAAAGTATGCGTAATGGTGGACTATGTGAATTTAATGAATTGATTGAAAAGAGATTAATGTTCCTTACAAATCATTAGCCAAGTGATCAATTCAACTTTGTCATAATCTATTGAAGGTATACATACATACATAAATTAGTAGACATTTAATTTAATAGATGTGAAATTATTAGGATCGGATTAACTGAGTACTAATCAAGATTTATCCACGGGTAGAGGATTAGTATTACAGAGTAACGGAGCAAATGACGTTATTTTCATTATATTTAGTGGACGAGTGGTATTTATAGAAAATGATCAAGAAGGATCGAGGCCAAACCTAGTGCGTATTTTGCTGACAACTTGTCATACTAAAGTTATGATAATGGTCCAAACTGTTCTTCATAAAACATCATCCAAAATAGTGACTTCTAAATATGCTCTCGTGAGTAATTCTAACTATGTTATATAGAAAATAAGTTAGTCATATAGTTCAACTCTATACATTAGCAATTTAACACATGTAAAATGAAAAGTATTACAGCTAAAACATATTATTATTAAAGAAAAAAAAAAGGTAAGATTTACTAATTAACATGATTTATTGATTTAGACTTTAGAGATGGACAAACTTGTAAGTAGCCGCCCCTTTAAACTGTTTTCGTATATGCACAATTGCACATGGTCTGAGCAACTAATGAGCTGGTTCTTTTTCGATTATATATGTCGCTTAAAGCTAAACAAGTAATAATTAGCCTATAATTGTGCGATTAAGGCATTATTATTTATTAGTGATCATTAGAGTTCGTTGATTGTGAATGATTGAAGAGGATATGAGGATTCTTAATTAGCATAGCATTTGATTATTTAATAAATTACATTTAATATACTAATTGAACAACTTAAATATTATAAGATCCACATTACAATTAAATGATCTGAACATTCCTTCTAATTTTATATATAAGTCGTTTTACCATTTAAAACTAGCATTTTGGCCCGTTTAATGCACGAGGTTGTTAGTTAGGTTATTTTTATACGTAGATATGTTTTTCAATAGTTAAAACTTTTGATATAAAATACGAAATAATTGCTTCATAACCGTTGTTAAAACTTAAAAGAAAGAGAGAGTGAGAATGGAACTGTGGAAAAAGAGGAAGGAATTTAGTTAGGTATATATACATGAATATTATGGAATATAAAATGACATATTGGTTTGAGTTATATTTTTAGTTTAGAAGATGAAAAAACTATTTTTATTGAAAGATTAAGAGATTTGACATGTGGCATATGAGTGATTTGTGGTAACATGTGGCATAGGAGCGGTTTATGGTTTGTGTTTTTAAATATTAAGTATAGATATAGATAGATAAATGAAATTTGACTACAATTCAAATCCAAGGTACCACCAGTCCACAATATTTTTGTACTTCATAATTAATTATAACTTATAAGGTTATGCAGCGAGTAGTTAATAATGTTTTGGTACTTAATACTGACAGAAAAAAAAAAAAAAAAAAAAAAAAAAAAAAAAAAAAAAAAACCTTGATACTACTCTATAAATTAACATATTGCTTAACATTCGAAAAATTGATACAATAGATTGGGATCGTAGAAGTTGGTTTAGCAGTTTGAATATCAAATCAAGTAATACAATGAATAAAATTGATCGAGTAATAGAGCAACATGCAGTTAATAATATATTTAGCTATGATACACATTAATGAACTTCTTTGAACAATTATTTCTATGAAAGCTAATTTTGAAAGGTGTAGCTACAATTGTACTAATATATAACAATTGTAAAATTGGTACAAGAACAATAAATATTTCAAATAATTGATGTACTACTTTCGTTACATATTAGTTGCAACTTTGGAATATTTTATGTCAGAAATAATACCCTAAAGTTGCAACTAATATGTAACGGAGGTAGTACAAAATAAGGGAGTACGTACTACGTATTTATTAACTCGTCACTCTCCTTAAATGAAATACAGAACCAATAATCATGCAAAAAATTAACTCTAAGATATTAATTATAATGTCAAATTATGACATGCAGTGTTTCCTATGTACTGGAATAACTTGGAGAGGCTTAACCTTTTGCAATGTGATACCAAATTTCTCATCCATGTCCAAATCTTTTGGATTCATTCCATCTTCAAGCTTCCAATCAAAGGAATGAACAAAATTAGCCATCATTAAGTTCAACATTCTATAAGCCAAAGTTAATCCAGGGCATATCCTTCTTCCGGCACCAAAGGGCAAGAGTTCAAAATCTCGTCCTTTAAAATCGATGTCACACCCTAAAAACCTTTCAGGTGAAAATATTTCGGGATTTTTCCATACCTTTGGATCGCGACCAATGGCCCAAAGATTGACTAGAACTTGTGCATTTTTTGGTACGACGTAACCATATAACTCTACATCAATGTCTGCCTTTCGAGGTAAGAGAAATACAGTTGGAGGGTGCAATCGCAATGTTTCTTTGATGATGGCTTGCAAGTAAGGTAGTTTTGAGATATCAGCTTCTTGGACCATGGAGCAACCTTTGCCGATGGCTAGTTCGATTTCATTTTGTACTCTTATCATCATCCCGGGATTTTTAACAAGCTCAGCCATTGCCCACTCTAATGTGCTAGCTGTAGTATCTGTTCCGGCATCAAAGATGTCCTACGTGACACATTCATCATTATGCAATTGTTAACTTTTAGTTAGGTAGCAAATTATCCTAACAAAAATTAAAGCTGTTAAGTAATTAATGAATTAGTGCATATATACTCCATTTCTTTTTTAATTACTTGTTTATACTTGTAACATTTTTACTTTTGTATTATATAATATATATTTTGTGATTTAAATTACACCAAAGTAAAACACAATCATGTATGTAGTCTTGTTTTATTTATCTCAATATATTTTATTTTTTTCAAAATCTCAATTGATTCATATATAATTTAATGTGTACTCATTTGTAATATCAATATTACTAATCAATAATAAAAAAGTAAAAAAAAAAAAACAGATAAACTCGCATGAAAGTCAAAATGTTGTTAAAAATTAAACTCCGTAACAGCTTTAGGAGAACAAGTCGTCACTGCCCAATTAATGTTGAAAAGCACCTTTAACTAGCAGATTAGTAGTGATTTATTATTGTAGGGTAATAACAGCAATAAGTATTAAATTTATATTGTTGCCTAAAGTTGGTTACATACATTAAATTATATTACTCTCTCCGTTTTATAATGTTAGTTTCATATGAAATCAATCACATAAAATAAAATAAAAAAAAAAAAAGATATTTGGAATGTAACATTAAAGTACAAAATAATTCATAATTAGTTTACCTTATTTATGTTTTTTTTTTTTTTTTTTTTTTTGAAAAGCATAAGTCATAATACATAATTCAAGGTAGAGATTTCCTTACTTAGAGCCATGTCATCAATCCACAACCAATTAACTCCAAAAAAAATTAAGTTAAAAATAGAACATATTCAATATGGGTGGATCTCTTTAAAATGCCCAAAATAGTATATGGAACTAACATTATGAAACGGAAGGAGTATATATGTGTCTTTTAATACCGACTTAATTCTTTAGAACTATTATTGTACAGAGTAAATGATAATTTATTTCAAAACCTTGAGAAATAAAATATCATACCTAAACTAGATAAAATCTTACATTAATAATTTATCTACACTTGCTAACCGAAAAAAAACTGTCATTCAAATTGACTAATTAAAATATCAAGTATTGACTTATATTTTTCATTTATTTCATTATTTATACTAAAATTTACTTAAACACCAAACAAAAATTATGAATGTTTCGAAGTGAAAAGTTATGCACAATAACATTATTAGTAATGAGTGAAATAGAATTACTTTTTTTTGAAGTAGTGAAATAGAATTACTCACCACAAGAAGATGATTAATCTCACCCATACTCAACTCATTTTCATCATAAAGGTTGAGAAGTGTGTCTAAAATATCACCCGTTTGTTTTTCACTTGAAACTTTGGTTGATCGAATTTTTTGCCTTTCACAAATTATGTCTTGAAAAACAGCTATGAGTTTATCAAAGTAAGCAGCCAAACGACGCCTTATGCCGAACGGATCAACGTAGCCAAGAATGGGGAAATAATCGGCATAATTTGGTCTACCAATTTCCTCCATTATGTTCCACATGAGTTGCTTAAACTCTTGGGAATTATTCGACTCGTGGCTTGCCAATTCCGTTGAGAAAAATGTGTTTGATAATAAGTTTAGAGAAGTTGTAAACGCGGCCCTCCCTATATCAACGGGTTGCCCTTTCTTAGAACAATCTTGCACGTATGCAAGAAGTTGTTCGACCTTGGCTTGTCTATGGGCTTGGCTAGCATCAAGTCGTTGATTAGAGAGAAGTTGCACGGCGGAGATCTTTCTGAGATTCCTCCATTTAGCTGATATGGGCAACCACGACATGGAGAGCTTGTCGTGGTTTCCTGCCCTAACAGAATCAGGAATGGTTCGGTTAGCAAGTAACTGGTCGTTTTTAAGAAACATTTCTTTGGCTACATCAGCTGAAGACACTATAATTGTTGTGATACTTCCTAACTGCAAACTCACCAAAGGGCCGTGAATCTTAGCAAGATTTGCAAATGATCGATGAGGCTTCTCCCCAAGATCCAAAATATTGCCAAAAATTGGCATTCTTTTAGGCCCGGGTGGAAGTTTATTGGACTTTGTTGAGTGACTAACAAATGATCGGACTAAATGAAAGCAAATAAACAAAATTGAAAGTATCAATGCAAGTGTTGTATGTTCCATGGTTTAAGAATGGAAGAAAAAATGAAATAGCCAAGGCTAGATAGTTTAAGGTGTATATGTATGTAAATATTATGTTTTGTTGAGTTGTTATGATTCCATGCTTGAAACCCACTATATATATACAACCCATGAGAAAAATTGGTGGTTGATTAAAAAAAATGAAATATTATTAAATATTCGCATAACACCTGGAATTATAAGATATTATTATGAGAGGCATTTATGTACCAAATTAAATAAATACAAGTATATAGCTAGATCTAATTTCTCGATCAATACATTAAGTGGACCAAGTTAAGGTCAGTTCCATATAAGTCACTAATTAAGTAATCGTATATCATTACTTATTGTATACTTAGTTATAAATAATCATGTAAAGCCGTTAAAGGTGTTCTAGGTCCTATAATTAACTATGATATGCTCAACAAAATCACATGATTTTAAAGTTCTTGTGTGAAAGCTAGGAAATAACCAAAGAACGTCAACGTATTAGCTGACCTCACACATGCACCTTTTGATTTGATGGAACAAAATTATATGGAGTACATTGTCTTATACGGAGTAGTAATTGTTTTCATAGTATTAATGTGCAGTATTATACTTTATATTTTGGTTCCGAATAAGTTGTCACATTTATTATATTGTCGTTAAGCATAAGTTTATTTTTTTAGGTTATTAGTCAAATCAACAAGAAGCTTCAACTTGTATACTTTATTAGCTTCCACTTTGAAGTTTAATAATAAGAATACAAGAGTGAATAATATTTAGGAAAAATTGATGGGAATAATCCCACCTTTTGAGCGTCTGCGATAAATAATCCCACCTTTGGGATTTTGTTTTTTAATAATTCCACATTCTGTTATGTTCATTCTCTTCAGCCTTGTAATCCATTTTGTTCAGTTCTAACTAACATGCCTTCTAATCTTTTCAGTTTTAGTTCTGTCTAATATGCCTTGTAGTCTGTTATGTCAGTTATATTATAATCTGACTTGTAATTTGTTCTGTTAAGTTTTATTATACCTTTTAATCTACAATTTTTTCAGATAAAGGCTAGTCAAGCTAAGGGTGAGGCAAGCAATCGAGGAAGAGGTAAAAATAAAAGGTATTGGACGTATGAAGAAGATGCGATTCTAATAAGATATTTGCATGAGTTGAGTTGCGATCTGAAGTGAAAGTGTGAGAATGGGTTTAAGAATAGTTACATGAATAAGTTGGAAGAGATGATCAATGGTGTACTTCCTAATTGTGGCTTGAGAGCGGTTCCCCACATTGAGTCGAGGATCAAGCATTGGTCGGAGAAATATAGTGCATTGGCGGAAATGTTATCCACCTCAGGATTTGGATGGGATGCTGAGAAGAAGATTCTACAAGTAGATAAGTCGGTGTTCGATGGTGGGTAAGGGTATGAACTGAATTGTGAACTGCTGTTTTTTTTTATTGCCTTTTCTATTGTTAGAGATCTCTACAATACCAGTCATGAGTTTTTCTTTTTTTAGTAAAAAAAACACTGTTGTAGTGTTTTCTGTTGAAGATAGTTCTGATCCAAAGTAGTTTTGTCTCAGATTCTCAGCTTTGGTGTTCAGCTGGTGTACAAAACATTTCATTTAGTTAATGTCTAGCTTAATAAAGTCCTGGTTTTTTGTGAATCTGAGTCTGCTACTTTTAGTCATTCTATGCTTATTATTATTATAGTTTATCTTAGCTTAAAAATCTCTCCTAGTTGCATGTGTGGTCTGTATCATATCCTCACCAAAATAGCAGCTGAAAAATCAAACCATACTGCACGTTAATGGCTACTAGTTGTAGGAATTTTTCAGTACAATTCTGCCTAACTTTATGACTTACATGTGCTTCACTCCTTTTATTTTGACTTTTAAATCTAATACAATAGTTTATTTTTCTATCTTATGCTTCTATTTTCTTTTTTCTTTTTTAAATCCCAGTTTTGCTACACAAAGCTCAGTCAGTTTGTGGGTCAGGATATAGTTTACTGATATGATGGTATTAAGTTAACGAGAGAAGACATAGTCAGAATCATATATAGTCAGTTGCTGCATACAGAGTTATGCATTAATCTTGTGAATTAATCTTGTTGTATTCTCTCTTATATGGCAGACTCATAAGAAAAAGCTAAGGGGTTGCTTGGAGTTTTATTCGTTCATTATGAAACTCTAGCAGAAATATATGCAAAAGACAAAGCTACCGGAGATGTAAGTGAGTCATTCGTTGATGCCATAGAAGATATGTATCAAGAGATTGATAAGCAACCATTGAATGTCGAGAGTGATGAAGACGATGATGTGAATTCTACTCATTCGGACAGTTATTCTTCTACAAGGCAATCCGGAAAATGCCTCATGAAGATAGAGGATGATCATATAACTCCTTCAAAAATGGCAAAAGTGAAGGCTTCTACAATTCATTCTTCCGCAAGTGATTCTACTACTCAATACAAAAAACGCTCTATAAAGGCGAAGGAGACTAAGGTGAAAGGAAAGAACAAGGTAGATTTAAAGAGTTTGTGTAGGAATGATGATGATGATTTGGTGGCCTCCCTCCATGATGTATCCAACAATTTTGGGAAGATATTTGAAAATAACTATGTTAATCTTGGGACTATGGCTAGTGCGTGGTCTAAAGTGGAAGAAAGGGAGCAAAGGATGGATGAAAAATTGAACAAGGTTTTGGACGAAGTGATGAAGTTAGATGACATTTCTCCATCCGAGGCTTTAAAGTTGCTACAATTCTCATGGCGGAAGAACATAAGCTCCGCATCTTCTATCAAGCTCCAACTAATATGAAGAAACAATATGCGATTGATCTTAAGAAGAAGTAGAAAGTTTTTTCCTAAGTTGTTATGGAGTTAATGTTTCAACGGATTTTGAATACATTTTTTTTAAAAAAAAAATTTGGAATGCAAGAATTTCAATTCTTTTGTAATTAATAATTTATGTGACTTTGCCTATATCTAGTATTAGTGGTGCTCTACATTGCATAATGTGTAGCAAAAGTTAGCAAAGACAACAAAAAAATATAAGGAAAGTTATTTGTTTCCAAGTTATCTATGCCAAATAAGAGGAAACGGATTGGTTGTAATCGTTTACGTTTCCTTAGTAATACCAAACAACTAGTAAGGTTAACACTATATATTACCCTTTCCCCTTCTAATTTGTTTCCATTCCCTTACATTTACTAATTTGCTACCAAATGCCCCCTAAATCTTATTAAAACTGGACCAAATTACCTTATTTTAGGTAGCTAAAAAAAATTAATACTGATAAATACAGTGTATTATTAAAACCCAAGTACTCAGTAGCTAAAAGAAAATTTAAACAAAAAATAATCTTAAAACAGTCAACCCATCAGTTTGACTTTAAGCATTTTTATCAATCCTTCGTTTAAACAAGATTTATTTGTATGATTGAATACTTAGTATTATTGCATGTGTAGTTGTAATACGTATATGCTTACCCGGTTTAGGCATCGATGCACATGCACGTTTAGGCACATGTAATTTCTATGTTTGCCAAAATTTGATTGGATAAGAAATTTCGTCTTTACAGAAAAGATGTAAATCTGATGATTGATATTTTGGTGTTTAGAGAGCTACAAAGACGGGGAATGGGAATCGATTTTAGGATCTCCTGAAATCAAGAGCAAAACTCTAACTACTTGAGATATTCCTCACTCTCAAAACAGATAATTGGTTGCATACTTGCATTACATTGGCAGGAAGAAATCATACATTCACTCTCGGATACTCCGCATATATATATTACCAAAATGCATAATTGATCACTTTTTTAATAATTGCAAGGAAAATTAATTAACTATGAACCATCAAGGGTAATTAGAAATTAAGAATGCATTTGTTTTTGTATTGATTTAGTTTAATTAACTTTTAGAAATTGTTTGAGGAGGTAGTTGTCTTTTCTTCGGATTTTTGACGGACAATTATTCTTTTACAGTGTCTATCTAAAATTAATACTTCCTCTGTTCCTCTAATATAGCAACTTTTTTTTTTTTTTTTGAAACATCTAATATTGCAACTTGGGTGGGGGAACACGGATTTTAAAAAGAGAAGAGATATAGAGAGGAATAAAAATATGGACCCATGTGATGATGAGAGATAAGGAGAAAAAACAGGTGCATATAAGGAAATGTTGCAATATTTGTGAAAATTCATAAAATGATAATTGTTTTAATATTTGTGAAACGTAATAAGTATAATATAATGAGAATGAATCTATAATCTATAACTTTATACTAAAGGCGAATTTTGAGATGACACGTGTCATCTTTTAATTAAAAAAATTTCCGCCTAAATGTTTTTTTTTTTTTTTTGTGTTTTTTTTTTGGTCAAATATCAACTTCTATATTTGACATCAAATTTCTTCCATATATGTTCTACCAATATATATTTTCATATCTTTCTTACCATTTTTATTGGGTATTAAAGTAGTAATTTTTCATAAGACTTTAAATTATTCTTTTTGTCTAATTATATACATGTGTTGTACTTTTTTTTTATTTTCAAGAATAAGCCCATCAACAATTTTCGGTGAAAAGTAAAAATAAATGAAGTGGTAAGGAATCTATACTTTTATTAACATTGCACCTCATTTTTTGTAATATAATACAAATATGCAATCCTAAATAATTAATCAAATTATATATTTATACATAACTATGTATTTTTTTTTTGGTTTAATATTATAGGAATATTAGATAAAAATACCCATTGACTATAATCATAACAATAGTATAGCTGTACTAATAAAATAAATTCTCCACCATTCACTAAAAATTAAGGGGTGTCCATAATTCAGATTAAAATCGAAATCCAATCCAATCCAAACCAAATTATTAATTTGAATTGGATCCGAACTTTAAATCGGATCGGATCGAATCGGATTGAGAATTTTTTAAAAATTCGGATTTTCGGATTGGACCAGATTGACCTTAATTGGATCCAAATAAAACCAAAAACCAAATTAAGCTTGCTTGTATGAATATGGATTTCTTTGTTTTATGATTGGGCTTTTGAAATTTAGCCCAAATACTTACTACTACATAAAATAAATTAGGGAGACTTTGTATAATGACTTGATGTTGAACTATTTATTTTAATCATGATTTTAAAGACTTGTATTAATATTGCTTTACTTTTATAATCGTATTAGGCGCTAAAAATTAACATACTTTAATTTGAATTTTCGGATCGAATCCAAATAACCGAATTTTAATTCGGATTGGATCGAATTGGATTGGGAGAGAAATTCGGATCGGATCGGATTAGAAAATTAAAAACCGAATTATATTTTGGCTTGGATCGAATTTGTCCTAAATCCAAACCGAAAACCAAACGGACAACCCTACTAAAAATGAAATAAATAATCAAGTAAATTACCCATGTGCCTATCAAAGTGTGGGATTAAAAGTATATCACACAGGTATTGACCTTGATTTTATTATTAATGTATTATATATAATGAAGTTATTTTATTATGTTCAATAATGTAATTCATTTTTTATATTAATTATTGTAGTAATAACTAAATGTTGTAATTCGTAATAAAATTTTGTAAAAACCGTGTATTTGCACGGGACTTATACTAGTTTGTACTATGAACGTAAATCTTATTACCCTCACCGATGCGAATATGCGATTGGCATATTTTATGGACTAAGTGGTATGTTAATGGCCCATCCAGAATTATTCTTGTATTGGGTCATGGTCTCCTTTGGGCTTTTGTGCGTGTCAATTACCACAATTGCCATGCCTAACGATTTGGGTTAGCATTGGGTCAATTAATGAAGCCAGTTCCTAGCTAGAACTGACAATAGCTTACACGATATGAACCATACTCGAAAAAATTGGGTTAATGTCATGGGTTTATGACACGTTTAATTAAACAGGTGAACAGACACAATACGTTTAATTAAGTAGGTCGGGTTAGTGTTTAGAATTCCAACATAATACTACAATCAACCCGCTTAAAAAAAAATCTATAATTTATGAATTTATGATAAATATCTTGAATGGGGCTAACATTTTTACTTATAAAAGGTTAACACGATACGAACCAGACATGAAAAAAGTGGGTTAGTGTCAACAGTTTCTAACACAATTAGTTAAACGGGTCAACACGACATGGCACAATTATTAAACGGGTTGGGTTAGTGTTGAAGTCCAATAACCCGTTTAACTTCAAACACGAACACAAGAATGACACGACACATTTACCAACTCTATTTTGTCTCTAGCTACAGTATTCATGTTTTATACGACAAGTTTCATAGCATAGATGTATAAAACATTCAAATAATTATATGCAATCGAGTACACTTACAAAAACATACCAATTAAGCATTCAACAAGAAGGGAGTTGCATTACACATCTACATATATTTCTAAATTGTACTCTAATACTGTATTTGTTATTAAATTCTATTTGTTTGGAATATTTAATCCTAATTGCAAAGAATAAAAAGATTAATGTGTGATTTCCGCATATATATCAAATAGTGATATGTATGTACCGGATATCAATAACAACAAACTTATACACACAATGTCCCATATGAAGATACGTTCAACTGGTCTTGGCTTAGATTTGGTGCTTGAAATCTTCAAGTAGCACAAGCATGGGATTGTAAGCGCTGCAGAGGTGCAAAGCAATGCTCCCATGAGAGACAAGAGGTAGCCAAAGAACGGAAAAGCCAATGCTATAACTACTTGCGTAGCAACCAAGGTCAATCTAACAATATAGTTGAACCATCTAGTCTGGTAACGCCTAGGAAACCAACCTTCAGTCGAAATTACGACTGGCTTCAATAATAATGCATATTTCACTAAAGGAGTGATCAATGTAGTGTAGATTGCAACATTAGAGCTCAATTTTCTCGTTGGAAGGTTTAGAGTTATCTGTGATTCGACACTTGAACCAAACATCAAGCATCCTAACACGGCCATCGAGACATAGATAAAGGTTGAGAATGCGAAGCTCATGAATAAAGCCTTGGAGAAATGATGTTTTTTCTGCATTGAGGTATAAACGGCAGGAAAAAACTGTTTGACCACTATAACATAACATGTATAAGCTAGCCGCCGTTATTATTCCTTTGAAATTGAAGAGGGGAACTTGATTTTCGACTTGGGGGAATTCAATGCCATCGAAAATTCCAACACATAAAATAGATCCAAGTATCAAAAGACTAGCTAAAACACCGGCAGCAGAAATGTAAGCCAAAATGCTTAGGCTATCCAATAGAACTGTTGGGAGAAGAATGAGCGCAATGATTATTATGAAGCATGAATTGCCTTCGATTGCTATTCCAAATGCACCAAGTGAAAATTCTGGGAATAATTTGTGTAGATTATCTCCTTCCGAGATTAAGTAACTTGTTGTAGCCATATACAGATCTCCATAAAGAACAATCGATACAATTACGTTGCCAACATTCCCAAAAGCATACTCCCCTACGTGGGAATAAGTTTTGATCCTTGGATCGACTTCCATGCATCGTTTTAGTAGCAAGCTCGTGTAGGTAGCCACCCCGGCTATGGCAAAAAGCAAGATTAAGCTTAACCAACCTCCATGAGCTAATGCATAAGGGACTATCAAAACTCCATTGCCTGATTAGAAAGGCACAAAATGACTTTAAGGTCATGGTTAAGTTGCTTAATTTAAAAGCTTAAAATGTTGTGAGCATGCATGGTTACTGTTAGGATAATTTGTTATTATGATAATATTGTATTATCTGGGTGGATAATTATCAATATGTGATAACTATCATCCGAGTATTGCGGTTGGCCTAGGATAGGTTTCCTTGCTTCTTCCTATCTTTGTATTTAAGCACATGTATTCTTGCTGATGGGATAATAGAAAACACATACTTGGTTGGCTGCCATATTTACTAAGCTTACCTTAGCATGGTATCAGAGCTAGGTTTTTTTAACCAATATATTCACCATGACTGGCTTTGAGCTGTTACATTTGTGATCCGATATGCTTGTGAGCATAATTAATCGTACTAGTCTGATATTAAAACTATAATTACTACTGTAGTTGATGAACAATTGTTTCCTACTTTCCTGGCTTTGGGCATAGAAATGGTTTTTTTTTTTTACAAGAACACATCTTACAGTTTTTTTTTTTTTTTCTTTTCTTTTCTTGTGTATCTTACTTGGAAGAATAATAATGATTCTCCGACAAAGATCATTTACTATCTCAACCTCTTTATTACCATTTACACTTTTTTTCTACTTTACCTATTTTTATATTACTTTTTTTTAACCACATTTTGTTAACCTAACTCGATCATTTTAATTATCCATCTCCTTTT